CCTTTCTTATATTTCTTCCTTGAGTTAACTCAATAAAAACAAATATGGCCGACTAATCATGAAGAGAGACGCTCAAGGGGAAGGAAGTGTTCCCATCTGCTCAAGGCGTGCCAAACATTCCTAGCAATGGATTAGATAAAGAGAGTAAGCTGACAGTTTTCCTGGCAGGCAGAGAAAGGAGAACAAAGAGTAAGATATGATCAGAAGAAAGCAGAAAGACTGCAGAGTTTTATGAAAGCTTGTAACGATTCAGCCACTCTTTCTACCAGAGACTACCTAAAATGAAAAACTTTAATATGAAAGCAAAATAGTATGCCCATCCAATTTGCCCCTTGCCTTTGTCGTCTCATTAATCTTAATTGGTTAATGTAGCTGGCTGGGATTTAAAGAGACAACTCGATCCATCCTTAAAATGTATTGATTACATCATGTTCTGTCTCCAATATACTTGTCCTGTAATTTACTCATCCTTAATGATCTCACTGAAATCAATGTCATTTGACTGAAATGAATTCGTAATTTCTCATTCTGCATTATATGAGAAGTATTGGAAGGGAAATGTTATCTCAGAGAATAAAGAAAAACAAAAGAAGATTGTGACAGACAGGTGTCCTACTTGTCCTGAATTTCTTTTTCCAAAAATGTAAAAGTATTTTACATAGAAATACTCTTAAAATGAAAGCTATTGAATGAAGATAGTGCATTCCTTTTCTTTTGTTATCATTTATATTCTTCAAGTTTTCTGTTTTCTATTGTAATCTGTGAATGAAACTTTGCAACAAAAACTATATCTCAGATTCAATTTTTAAAAAGTATCTCCCAATTTCCTTCTCAGGTTCCTATCATTCTTTCAAGAGATCCATACAATGAGTATAAAGATGCTTTAAAATATACTGAGCTATGAAAGCCTGAAGTGATTTATATCTCTACTGATTTACAAGTCATCCAGATCATGAATTATATTCTGAATACCTTTTCTGTTACTTTTCCTGATACAGCTAAGTTCTAGACAATTTAAGAAGCCAACATTTGATAAATTTGAAAGAACAGGCAAATAATTTTATAAAGTTTTGCCCGTGCACTTTAAAAAAAATATCTAACAGTGATTCTAGAAAAAATATAAACCCTCTTGGAGATTCCTGTCATTCTTTAGATATAGTGAAATACAGAAGCTGTATTTTTTCTACTATTATTTATTAATGTAATATTTTCTTGCAATGCAGTTTAATGGAACAATACATAGCTGCCATTGATTGGAGGAAAAGCAACCAACAGCTTTTCAGTTGTTTCATAGTTTCATAGTTCCATTTTCCTTTAAACTTTATCCTATATATTTCTGGCCTCTAAAAAGGACACATTCCATTCTTTACGTCAAACTTATCAAAATTAAACTATTTCCAGCTGCCAAAATAGCTAAAAGGGAAAATGTTATTATATTATATTATATAGTGCTGTTAGCAAGCTGAAGATTTTTCCCTTATCCATATGTAGTACAGTAGATGTGGCAATTATAATAGTAAACATATATGCTTTCCTCACACACTGTATAATTAAAACCAATTGTCAGAATCAACTGAAAGAAGGCAAGTATGCAAAGCAAGAAATAGTCTTGACCTATTAGTCTAAAAACAAATTATCTTCATAATCCAAAGATATTGATATATTATATAGCCTATTCTCTCTTGTGTTGATTCTGCTCCTGTGTTTGTGATTTATCTTGAACTGCATCTTCACACATAAAAATGCTACTTGAATTGAAATTTTTCCCGTTATCTTTTTAAAATTTGTTCAAAGTATACAAACTAAAAATGACATAAAATTCAAAGGAGGAAAAAAGACTATATGTACATTGAGTTTTGTTCAGCCCAAGGGTTTGTAACTTGTGTCCTGGGGGCTGTTTGTTGCCCCTGAGCAACCCATTTGCACCCACAGTACCCCAACATCACACAGCTGAAATTCATCAATGAAACAGACGTTTTTCAGTAGCACCCTTAGGATCTTTTTCCATTCCAAATAAGATATAAATTGGAGTAAGTAGCCTCTCAAAAGAATCCATTTCTCTTTTCATCCTTAACCACCATTCCACACCAAAAACAATGTGAATTATTCTAGACTAGAACTGTGATTTACCTAGATGAATAGATCCAATGTTGCCTCAGGGATTCAAATTTGGGATTCAAATTTGGTGGGATTCAAATTTCTTTACTACCGGTTCTTTGGACATGGCTTGGTGGGTGTGGCAGGGGAAGGATACTGCAAAATCCCATTCCCTCCCCACCCCACTAACCTGCTTTCCAGCTCCGTTCTCCTGTGCAGGGCAACAAAAGAAGCCAATCAGCTGGGACTCGGGAGGCAGAGAATAGCTGGGGGCAGGGCCAGTCAGAGGTTGTATTTGTCGGTTCTCCAAACTACTCAAGAATTTCCTCTACCGGTTCTCCAGAACTGGTCAGAACCTGTTGAATACCACCTCTCCTCAGGGTATTCTAAATTTAAAACTATCTACCGTATCATGAATTGGCCACATCGTATATGTATATGGATGTGTGCGTGTGTGTATACATACTCTATCTATCTGTTCATCCATCCATCTGTCATCTATCTACAGCATGGGTGTCAAACTAACGGGCTGGATGCATCACGCGCTGGCTATCCTCACCCCCATTTTGGCAGAGGGGAAAAAAGTTGTGATATGTCACGTGACGACAACGTGTCCTCATGAATTTGACACCTCTGATCTACAGTATCTCAAAAGTTTCAATATTGCTTCTGGAGTGTTTCATAAATTATCTCAGGATAAATGTGAAAAAGAATGACATGAAGATGGAGGTTGAAATTATAAGCCATGTGCACAATAGCTTTTATTTCACTATATTGTGACAGTGAGAAAGGGCACCTCTCCTGCTTCTTGCCAACCTTTTCTACCCAAAATGACATGATGCAACTGAAAATGTTGTACCAGAACTTCTGCTGAACTGTTGGTGACCACACCTAACATCACATGCAATCTGTGCCTTCACTGAAAGACCCTGGTTCAACAAATAAGCCACTAGAAAGCAACAAGTAGTGAAGAATTCATTCTTCAAAAGCAGAACAGCCTACCTATAGCTTCACAAAAGAGAGAGGAAAAATCCTTCCTTCATTTATATCCAGCCTTGAAAAATTTCTTGGGTTATCAAATAGATTTTATAACAATGCTAAAATGGTTGATGCCTAAAGAGATCCAGAAAGCTGAGACTAGCATATGAATAAAAAGAGTTAAACTCTGCAAACAGGGAAAAACCAGCAATCCTAAACCGTTCATTTAGAGAGGGGGGAAAACCCTCTTAATATTTATAGACTTTTTTCTGGAATGCCTAAGACCTTGTTGTGACTTAAATGTTCAGTCATCAACTTTCAGCTAAGGGTCAGAAAATATTTTAGGGAGTGTGAGTCAACAAGACCAATAACCTTCAGCAATCCAAAATGTATGTGACTGTTAAAATAATGTACATTTTTAATGGAAACATTTTCTATTCAAAACAATATTAATTAGAAATTAACATTATGAACACAGGGCTGGTTTATCATTTTGTAAAGAAACAAATCAATAAAAAAACCTTGAAGCTTCACACACTGGCTGAATAAGATTATGTTTATCTCAACTTTGTATAGAGGCAAAGAATGCAGCTCTGTATTGTCTCTAAATCATTGTTGTCCTTGGAGTAAGTCAAAGTGGAATTCCTCTGCATTATGTCGCACAGAGCACTCTCACTAAAGCAGATTAACTAATATGTGGGAAAGTACAAAGCTGCAATAACTTTTGGGTGGGTCTGAATCTCTCACAAGCACAAGAGAATCCAATCATTCCCCACCCATGCATAACTCACTAGTGACCTCACCAACTTCCTAAACAAATTTAACAAGCCTTCCTGCCTGCTTGCCATATAACCAGGTCATCATGTCACAAGCCCACCTGTGAACGTACAATAGTCAGAGTTACTGCAAGATGACCTGAAAACTATGCCAACATTTGGGAAAAGCTGTGCGCAGTTTTTACCCCCTAAATAGACTTACATGTCGCATAGGAATTTTATTGCAAAACAAATTATAAAACTGAGTTTCAAAATATTAGAAAGGTTTTCATTTGTTTCTGACAGAAATGTTCAGAATCAATATATGAATATGGTTCTTCTTCTCCCAACAATATAGCCTAGAAAAGGAAGTCTGAACACTAGACTTGTGTATCAATTTGAAAGGAGATCAGAGTTGACCAATTACTGACCAGAGTTTTAGACTGACCCCAATCCTGGAGGTCAAAAGGTAGGACTGAACCTCTACACCAGAGGTCTCCAAACTTGGCAACTTTAAAACTTGTGGACTTCAACTCCCAGAATTCTCTAGCCAGCCATGCTGTCTGAGGAATTCTGGGAGTTGAAGTCCACAAGTCTTAAAGTTGCCAAATTTGGAGACCTCTGCTCTACACTATTGATGTTAACTTATGACTGGTCTGTTTTCACCCTGGCTGCTGTTTCTGTATGTGTTCTATATTTGTTTTTCTATTTTTCTACTTTCCTTTTAAAATTTTCTTGTAATGGGGTTAGATCCCAGATTATTAATTTGAGATAGGTAACCATACATAATGAAATAACAAACAAGCAAACACATACATATACAGATAGTCTTTTACTTACAAGAATTTGCTTAGTGATCATTCAAAGTTACAATGTCACTGAAAAAAATGATTTATGACTGCTTTTTCATACTTGTGACCATTGGATCATCCCCATATGGTTATGTGTTTAAAAATTCAGAGGCTCATATTTACGATGGTTGCATGTCATATAATCACCTTTTGCGACCTTCTGACAAACAGAGTCAATGGGGAAATCCAGATCCACTTAACTGTGTTACTAACTTAACATCTGCAGTGATTCACTTAACAACTGTGGCAAGAAAGGTCCCACAGGGTTTCAAACATAATTTTACAAATTTTTCAAATGTGATAGACAGACACTACTCACCGTTCCCACCAGTGGATAAATAAATCCAGCTCCAATACTAGCTCTTACGTCGCTGATAGGCAGAACAAACCCAGTGGGAACACCTTTCTTCTCAGGCATGTGGGAAAGGGACAGGTGGGTTTTTGCCATGCAAATAGGTAAATTCCCAAATCCCTGCCAAAAAAGAAATGAGAAAGAGATACAATGTATCTATACCACACTGAAATAATAACAAGTTTCCTTTCCAAGGTTTTGCATGCTGTACAATAAAAAAAGCTAAATTTTATTACCAGTACATTGCTGACTTCTAGGAATAAGTCTTTGGCTCAAGCTTCAATAGATTGTGGCAAGAGGTTATAAGTATACATCTTAATTAATAATAATTTCTTAAATGCCTTTCTCAAAGCCCAGTACAGATCACAAAGAGAGCAATTGCAACATTTTATCCAATAACTCAACAATTTTCAGCTCAATAGTCAAACCAATAAACAATACCTTAACTATTGAGACAAACCAAACACAACTGCATATGCTTAAAATGATACCCTGTGATAGGACTGAACTTATATACATCCATAATTAAAAGGGATTAATCTAGGAATTGCTAAGATTAATTAGAGTAAAATAAGATAACATTCACCCAGCAACTAAATAAAAAGTTATTTAAATCATTTTTAAAGTTTTTGAATTTTCACAGGGATGAAGGGAATTAGGCAGCTAAGACTATAGTCTCAAGGCCTGGAGTCTTGAACTCTGGAGTGAGGGGCAAAAACAGAGGACTTTCTAGGTAGTGTAACAAATAGAACTGCAGGAAGTACTCAGGACATCAGGAAGACCATGGTTTTAGAGACCAGAGTGCCCTAAACATAAGCATCAACCATAAGGTCTGGTTCAAATAGAGAGCCAGGACAGAGCCTTGAGAAATTATGAGATATGAAAGTGGCATAGAAGGTCCAATGCACTTTTCTAGTCATTTAACCAGGAGCCTTTCTTTTCTCAGGGCTATGCAAATCCATGATTGTCGGGGCAGGACAGCATTCTGATTCAAAAAGACCTTGGTGATATTAATAAACAAGTCACTGAAAGGGCCAGCAGTAGTAGGCCATATAGGATGGGAAAAGGCAAGAAAAGTTGAAGGCAGGTAGCATCCAGGTCATAGTTATATCCCAAAAGTTTAGCTGCATTTTGAAAAACACCTTTGGGTTTAAAGGCAGTTATAGAAAGATTGGGTCCTGGCCCAAAGCAGCGTTATATTCTGGGCAGTTTTTATCCAGTATTTTAAACAGATACCGGTATATTTTAAAATAGGAACAGCACTCACAATCAGTGGTGGTATTCTACTGGTTTGCCTTGGTTCTGCCGAGCCGGTAGCAGCGATAAGCAGCGGAGACCAAACCGATTCTCTCCGTTGCCCTGCTGTTGGGCCCGCCCGCCCAGACTCCTATACTCACCTTTAACCTCTGCTTTTGAAGCGCAGCTGCTGAAGCAACCAGGAGAGTGCAGGCTTGCAGGAGGTGAGTTTGGACACCTCTGCGCCTGCACAAACGCCTCTGTACCTGCGCAAAGTGTGTGTTTGGTGTGCATGCGTGAAAAGCGCACCCACCAAGCCATGCCCACCGAACCGATGGTAAAAGTTTTTGAATCCCACCACTGCTCACAATATATCTGTTTGCATATATTCTTGTTTTTACCTGTTGGGTGTAACAATTTATTTGAGACTGTGCTGCAGGAGACAGCTCTATATCCTGAGCTCCATAGATCTTCTGAGCTATGATTCTTATTTTTTCAACTATGGGAAGCTGTGAAAACAAAACAGGATGACAGAACGTTAATTTGAAGAGTCCCAGGATCAGGATTGCCTAGTTCTCACTGGCAGTGAATTTATTACAACTTTATACTAAACATTCAATTATGCATTGTTTCATTAAAAAAAAACATACATGTAAAAGATAGCCTCTGTTGCCTTCCATTCAGAAATCATCATTAACCTTCTCTTTTCTACAATGCAGACAGAGAAAAAACAAGTTTATGTATATCAACTTCCTGTAATCATGCATTCTGAAGTGCACAGATAGTCCTTGACTTACAACAGTTCATTTAGTGACCATTTGAAGTTACAACGGCACTGAAAAAAGTGACTTAGGACCATTTTTCACACTTACAACCATTGTAGCATCCCCATGGACATGTGATTTACATTCAGATACTTGACATCTGATTCATATTTATGACGCTTGCAGTGTCCCGGGGTCAGGTGACTCCCTTTTGCGACCGTCTGACAAGCAAAATCAATGGGGAAGCCAGATTCATCTAACGACCGTGTTTCTAATTTAATTATTGCAATGATTCCCTTAACAAATGTGGCAAGAAAAGTTGTAAAGTGGGATTAAAAACTGTTCTCAGTTAGCAACAGAAATTCTGGGCTCAATTGTGGTCATAAGTTGAGGACCACCTGTATTTCAGAGTTTTGTTTTGCTTAGGCAAAAATATATTGCAGTCACTCACCCAAAACTTAGCTCTGGTTAAACCAGACTGTACATATATTGTATGCTCATAACTGGAAAAGGCCACTCTTGTTTTTTTCTATATGCTCAGTGAATTGTTCTCTCATAAACAATTCACAAAGACAAGTCCAAGTTCCATATCTGGCAGGTACCAACTGTGGAATCATCACAAGATGTACAGATGGCCTGAGTTGTAAGATTCTTCTTAAGCTCCAAGTGGGACATATCTATACAACACCAGAAGATGTGCAGTTTTAAAGCACGTAGATGCCCTTGGAAAAGTCTTGCTGAAGTAAACCAGGCCTGGAAAATTTATCACAAGCTGAGCATAAGCTTCTATTATTGAAACGACTCTAGGAAACCTCTAAAGGATTACCTCAGAAACAGCTCTCAGCTTTTTTCCACCTTTGCCATAGCAGTCAAAAATATGTGCTTTACTAAATGATCAATATACTGTTCAATTGCCAGGATATGTAAAGAAGCATAAGGCTAGGCTGAGCCTTGATTTTAAAAGGGTCTGTCTCTGCACATCCCGTTCCCTCTGTAGAAAGTCCTGCCCCAATCTAAGTCCTAGATTTTTCTGCCTAGACTGGCTTGCAACAACTGAAATTCACTAAGTATGAGGTAATGTTATCTTATCTTTTTTATAATGGAATCGTGTATAAAGTTACACTGCTAATTTTTGTACTGATCATGCTGAAGCCTGGAAAGATGTGGAAGATGGAAGAAGAATGAAAATATATTTTTAAAAAGGACAGAATGAATGACCAAAAGATTCTTGCCTGTCCCATCTGTACAGCAGAATTAACACATTCAGCACACACACACACAATTAACCACAACTACTGCCGCAACATTTCCTTCTATGATTAAGAAACAGCCATCCCAAATGCCTGGAGCAGAGAGCATTTTGCCACAGGATGCCTTTGAAATCAATAGTGCATTCATTGATTGAGTGGTGCTGGGCTTTTGGTGCCCTAGCTTTGTGCTATCTCTACAGCAAAAAATTGCCATGGAAATGTAGTGATTCACTGCTTTGGTACCAAATGACAAAATTCAACCTCATCCTTCAGTTCTGGAAAGAGTCTTATTATCACATTTTTTTTATTTAAAAAAAAAAACAAGGGAGGAGGAAGGTAACCTTAGACCTCACATTAAATCCAAGACACATTTATCACTCTGTGACAATACTGAATGTTTTGGACCTTCTCTGTTCGTTTCTTTTATCCATTAACACTATGTTCATGATTGTATTTTCATTGGGTAGCCCTACAATTCTCAATAGCATGGTTGGTGCTTCAGTACATGTGCTATATTTTAAGCCTCAAACTCTGAGATGGATGTTTGCATAGAAATGCCAATCTAATTTCCAGAAATTTTTGATGGCTGGATACTACAGCATTCCAAGTCTTCTATGTATTAGAGGTAGAAATTATGGAAGTTGAAGTTGGGCTGGGTTCCTCTGCTCTACTTAATGTCTCTCTCTCTCTTTTTTTTTAAATCATATTTTTTATTCCAATATAGTTGTGTTTAATGTAGGATTTTTTTCTCCATTGTTTATTTATTTAGAACATTTATATGGCCACCCACCTTAAGCAAATAACTTGGGGCGACCAACAGCACAAAAAGTAATATAAATGATTAGTTTCTCTTTTATTTTAAAAATACTCAAAAAAGCTCTTTTCAGTGATGATACTGCTTTTTACTTTGTTCAAAGAGTTTCCAAAGAATTAGAAGAGTTGCAATGGTGTGGTTCAGTGAAAGTTCACTTCCAGGACTACTCTGTTTTCTCTCTGGTTGTTCCCAGATAACATAGAACATGGTTGTGGGGCTTGTGATAATTCAAGGAATTCCCAAAAGCTATCCAGATTTCTATAAGCCAGATCAAAGAGAATTGACATTTTGAATTTCAAGCAGTCTCAAAAGGTCATACTAACATTTTAAGCAGAAAGCTGCTCACTGGTGGCAAGTTCCAGTTCAAATTCCAGTTCAGATGGGACTTTTAAAATAAACTGTATAAGTCTTCCAGGATAATATATATATACATATTTGTAAATTTTATTTGAGTTTTCAAAGAGAAAAAAAATACAAATAAAACATCTTTTTTGAAAGTAGCATAATCCCGGGTTACATTTCTTCGTACAGACACAAATTCAGGTTCATGCTCATTTTTATATTCTATTCCATATCTTATTACTATTTTACATTTTCTGCATAGCTTCTCCCCTCTTTTAATTTTCTCAATTTTATTTTAATTATCTCATCTCAATTCAAATCATTGTATTTATATTTTTTGTCTGTCCTGTTTCAAATCTATTATCTTTTCTCATTAAACAAAATTTCTCCTGTAGTTACTGATTGGAGTATGATGCCTTTATATCTTTTCCCTAAAGTTGTAACATTCAATATAATACATAACTTCCATTCGGATTCTGCTTGGTACATTCTTAAAATACACACTGTATTCTTAAAAAAAGAAAAAATTATAAATGTATATAATTAAAACAACATTCCATTCCAATTCAATTCGATCATTAATATTAATATTCATTAAAGTCTTAACATCTTTAACATTACTTTTCAATTAAATATCATACTTCTATGGGAACAATTATAAGCTTTCCATAGTTAATTCCCCCCCCCTTCACTTATATTTTATAAAACATTAACTAATTAAAATGTTCCCGTTCCTTCCTAATTTAATTTTCTCATTTATTTTATTTCACTTATTTTATTCACAAACATTTCACTAAATTACACTATTTTATCCCTCATTTTAATCATACGTTGTTTCCAATTTTCTAAAGTTATTTCTATTACTAATATAACAATACAATCTTATGTACCTTTACAGAATCCCTTTTTCAGTTAGATTTTCACCCATTATCTCTAAATAGGTCCTGTTTTTCTATATCTTGCTCCGGTCCTTTGTAAGTTCTTTTCCTTTCCTTCTTCCCTCTCTTCTTCTCTCTCCCCTTTTTACCCCCTTGCCTCTCTACCTCTATTTCTCTCTTCTGTATTCCCCTCTTCTGTTGCTTTCCAGTATTATACTTATTTTTTGAATTATTTTTCTTTTCTTTGGTTGTTTTTTTAAGTCTTAAATTCTCCATTCTCTTTCCCCCCTTTCCTTTTTCTTCCCCACATAAAATTGCTTGTTCATTAAAGATGGCTTCTTCTTTGTCCCAGTCTTCTTGTTTTGCAGTTGTTTCTTGTTGTTTCTCATAGTTCCAAATCTCCATTTCTAAGAATTGAAAAATGAAGCCAAAAGAACCCTTCCCTTCTTGTGCATCTTCTTTGTACTTTTTAAGTTCCATTTTCAATTCATCCAGAAGTGGTGCCATTGTATAAATTTTTAAACAACCACCTGATTGATTTTAGTCATTCAAATATAATAACCAAGAATCCAAAGATCACCAAATAATCCAAATACACGCAAGCTGTTTCTTTTTTGCTTTTTTCCCCCACTTTCTCTTCCTGGGGTTACTATTTAGTTGCAAAGTTTCAGTTAAAATGTATCTTTTAGAAGTCTTGTTGAAGTTTTACTGTAGATTCTTTTTAATTCCAGGCAGTCTCCTCCCTCTTCCAGATCCTGCCCTTATTCTTTTTCTCTCCCTTCCTGCTTATGAAAAAAAAAAAATTAATGTCCAGAAATCTTTATTATCCCTTTGGCGTTTTGTTTTATTTTCAGCTTAATTGCCTATTGATGTCAAAGCGGATTTTTCCAATTTCTTATTTAAGTCTCTTAGTTGTCAGTATAGGGAAGGAGAGAGAGAGAGAAAAAAAAGCCAAACCTTTCCCTTTTCACTTTCCTTCGCTGCTTCCGACTCTTCTTTGGGAGCGATGTTATTTTTTGTAACTTTAAATTCCAGGGTACCTTGGTTGTTGCATTTACAATTTAACCCGGTCAGCCAAAACTTTCACTTCTTATCTTCCTCCTACACATTCTTTTCCAGTCGAGTTCTTCTTTGAGGTGGCCATTTCTGACCACCGCTGCAACCGCCTTCGGGAAAGGGAGTAATGGCCAGCTAAGGAGGAGAGATGCGGCTCTCCTCGACCCTGCTGGCGGTCTCCCCCCTCTTCACCACCTCTACCAAAACCAGCCGGCTCGGGGCACTCCAGCGGCGAGCCCAGACAGAAACCGCGCACGATCGTGGATTTCTGTCTGTCACCGAAGCCCTTCAAACCGGAAGTCCCTCCAGGATAATATTTTTGAGATCGAATCAGGGGTGGAATTCTACTGGTTCTGTCCATTTCTGTAGAACCGGTTGCTATGAAAAGCAGCAAACAGAGAGCAT